TCCAGAACTTTCATACTTCTTTTTCTGTCAAACCAACATGAGAATTGAGATGTGTGAGAAGCAAATTAAGATGAAGCTTCAAGGCTCCCTTGTTTACTGCTGTTTACCTTGTTTCCTTTTTTTTTAAAAAAAAAAAATGCACAGATGAAATATTTCTATTATTCAAAATAAATTGTGGAATTTTTCTTCTCTAGGTTAAGAACTAAACTGAAGCAGCTTGCTGATCAGTATGTTCTCTCTGAACAGCAACATGCACAGATGGTATGGTTTGAAGTTCTTGTTTATCTGACGTTTTAAATCTTTGACTACAAATCAGTTTTCTTTGTTGAGGTATAAATAGCTAATTTTTATGGTCTTGACATTTGGATTCATAGTTAAAGCAGAAGACTTTGGAACTACAACTTGCTGACCTGAAAATTAAGCAACATGAAGAGAAACTGATTCAGGAACAGTCGCAGATGAAAATATATGCAGAACAAGTATCACAGTTGTTGGCAACTGAAAAGAATTTGCGATCGCAGTTGACAGCTGATGGAGAAAAATTCCAGCAGTTTCAGGTCAGATCCGTCCTGTGCCATTTATCACCTTATGATTTATCTGCAATCGTGCAAGTCCTACTTGATTTTAATTGACTGATGGAGGCAAGTATGGATGTTGATATTCTGTACTTCTATGTGCCTTGGACCTGTTCCATTCCTTATACTGATCAGAAGGGTGGTTATCACCTGTGCAGTTCTATAGTTGTATCATCACGAAATGGAAAAGGTTACAAAACTGAAAACTCTAATGTTATTGCTGACAGAAAAGTAATGCAGGTTGTAATTACTACAGCAATCACTGACAGAAGAGTAGTGGGATACTAATGAAATATCTTTGTAGATGACAAATGAGCAACTCTTCTCATGGTAGACTAGTAAAAACCTGAAAACAAATACTAATGGATTTTGCAGGATGCATTGTTAAAGAGCAATGAAGTCTTCGAAACATTTAAACAAGAGATTGAGAAGGTATATAGGTGTTCCCTGGAACTACTTTGTCCACCACTTTATATGATTGTTTGTTCTGTTTGAAAAACCGCTAACCATTACTTGTATTCTGAACTAGATGGCAAAATCCATCAAGGATCTCAAGAAGGAAAATGTATTCTTGAAGAGTAAATGCGAGAAATCAGATTTTACTCTCATCGAGCTTGTGGAAGAGGTATGGTTGAATTGTTATCTTATACTTCCACTCCTTTTAACTAATTTGTTTTCAGTTTTTGGCTTGGCACTTATTGTTGGCTTAACCAAGCAGCGTGAGAAAACAAAGAAACAATTGGAGAAAATAAAGAATCAAAAGGAAAAGCTCGAGTCATTATGCCGAACACTTCAGGCGGAGAGGAAGCAGAGCTCAATGGGGAGCAACAGCTCTGATTCAGTCCCAGCTTGAGCATAAGGAACAGATTCAACCAACCCTGAGTCTTCCAACAAAACCACCGCACTCTCATCTTAAGTTACATGCCTACATTTTCTACTTGTCACAGAGAAATTTTAGAAGATGAGAGGGCTCCGCTCATTATTGCATTATGGAGAATTTCCCTTGGATTTGTTTGACAATAATGTTGACTTCCCTTAATTTTTTCATGATTAAGTGGCGAACTGCTATTTTTCTGTTAAAAGTTTTCTGCAAATATGCTTTTCCTTTTTCTTCTTCTTCTTCTTCTTCTTCTTCTTTTAACGTAGAGTATCAAGGTAGCAAACTTCGTGTACTAGATATGTAATCGGAAAAAAATGAAGTGCAATCTATCCTAAGTAAACTACACTAAAAACTCTTCATATCAAATGATAAATTCTTCATGCACTTCTTGTATTCCAAACCTAACCTGCACCCTTGTCCCTCGCCCCACCCTCACCTCCGCAGTCCGCACCGTGATGGATGGCGTGCATAGGAGAATGAGTTAATACAAGTTGACCAAAGAAGTGAAAGAACTAGTAGAGCATTTCTCTTCTTCAATGATTAAAGCAGGATTTATCAGTAGTACGTGCCTGCCTTCATACATACATTTCGCTTTTGAAAATTCCAATGCTGACACCAGGAATAGGAAGCAGTAATATTGAATAAATCTTTAATAGGTTTTAGACTTTTAGTAGTACAGCCAAAAATGAAAAAAAAAAAGAGAAAAAAATCTTTAACGTGAAGCACGCCTCCCACTCCAAGCATGATCCTCATTTACGTCAAATAATATACTAAAAATCAAGCAAATACACCTAAAAACTTAAAATCACATTAATGAAAAATTAATTTTAAAGTATGAAAAAATATTTAAAATTTTAATTGAAAATTAATTAAAATTTAATAAAATTTTCCTATACTAATAGTTAATAGAAAATATCATAAATGAAGAGATAAAAAATTTAATTGAGGATCAATATCTCTTGATTTGAGTGAAAAATTATTTAATTTTTTTAAATAAAAATTTAAATTTAAATTTTATAAATAAAAAAAATAAATATTAATAAAAAAATTTCATATTAAATATAACATAATTTGATTTTAAATTAATAAATTTTTGTACCGCATAAGGTTAATAAAAATAATAATAATTAAGATGAATGGAGGTGTCAAATTTAGAGGCGTCAAGTGTCAACAGAGGGCCATGGCCGCCATATTGTCAGATTCCCTTCACACCATTCCAATTGGACATTGGAAAAGTCGTTTACAATACGCTACCGCCACCAAGTCCCTCTTTCATTTTGTAAGGCGTGTGGTCACCACGGCGTCGTTTACTCCCCTCCTTCTCTCTGCAATAAACAAACCGTTTTCCATTTTCTGTCTCTCTCCATTTCTCACCTAACTCTCCCCTAATCCCTTTCCTACCATTTGTCTGCATTGTGCATTCTTCGCCCCTCCCGCTCTCCAGGCTTCTCCTTCTCGCCTTTTTCCTCCCTCGCAAGAGCTAAGGTACGATCGACCGTGATGGATCTACCTCTATTGTTTGGCTTCCGCGATTTCAGATTCTCTGTCTATGTCGTGCTTCCCTTGATTCTTAGCTTCTGTTTGTAGTTTTATTTGTTTGCTACGGTTCGAAATTGCGATTCTGTGAAAAATATGGGTGATTTTTACTAAGTCTCACGATCGCGCTTTTCTTCCTCGTCGTTAATGCCTTTTTAGCTATTGTAGTTAATCTTTTGGCAAATTCAAATCTTTGAATGAGCTTAATTTGTGTATTTTGAATGATTTGTCGAGGAAGATTTAGTTTTCTCTATGTTCTTGCTAATTTGGTCTCCCAGCGTTACCTGTGTATACATAATCACGAGCATATGCAGGATTCTTTTTTGAGCTTAATTTTGCAATTTTTTAGTTCTTTGTTTTGTTCCTTGTGTTTTGGCAGTCCTTAATTCCAGCTCCAGAATTTATTTTGAGCTTCCCTGACGATATGAATTCAAATCTTGTGCAGTCTAACATTCATGAATTTGGCCTGTTTTGCGACATTAATGGCAATTTAAGTTATTTTATGAGCAGCTGATAATGAAAAATGCATAATTGCGTATTTGCAATTTAGTGATTGTTGACTTTGGCTTTTATGTTATGTAACTTTACATTTTATTTCTTAAGATTTTATATCTAAAATGTTTATCCATTTTAATGTGTTACCCACATGTAGCATAGTCATTTGCAATGTTAACCTTCAAGTTCCAACTGCTGTGTGATGTTGATTATTAACTTCTTGATATTTTGGTTGTCTTCTTGCTCTTTGTGCTCTTAAGGATGTTGTTCATGACCTCTTCTATTTTTGTGTAGAGCGTCTTCAAAATGGATTTTTTCTTCAGAGGCGTAAATGAGGATTCTGCACCTTCGCAAATGGAAGTTCTTAGGTGTCCATTTTTGAGAAACATTAATGAGCCAACCAATTTCTCTTTTTCCTCACCTATGCCTTTCCCCATGCCAGTAAGTTAATGGTTTTAACCAGAAATTGATCTTCCTTTTTGCCTTTCTATGTTGCATCTCTCACAACTCACGAGCATAATATAGCTTATTTATGGTGTGACTTATTTTCACATTTGGCAGAGTCATTGACTTATCATTGCTTTCCATATTTCCTGCTCAGGTTCGAGGAACTAAAGGTCCAATTTTCGAAGATGGACCCAATTTTGACATGGCATTCAGGCTTTTCCATGGGCATGATGGAGTTGTCCCCCTATCAGAAAGATCATTCATACGGATTGAGAAAGTAGAGCCTAAGCCAGCCCCACCACAGTTCAATCCTTTGGCTGCAAAGGCAGCTACAATTAGTCTATCGTCCTTTGGACCTGGAGGGCCCTTTGGTTTTGATGCATTTTCTAACATGTGGAAGAATCAAAAGGGAAAATCAAAATCATCCAAGAAACGGTCTCCTTCTCAGGTAATTGATTGGTGCTATCAAGTAGACAGTGGAATGTCTTTATGGATTTGAAATTTTATTGTAAAAGTGTAAACAGAAGATTTGTTCATAACTATGTGTTGACGTCTTTCTGTGTTGATATTTCAGGGAGGGAAGTCTAACCATGAGGCATTGAGCAATGAATGGCTGCAAAGTGGGAACTGCCCTATTGCAAAGTCTTATAGAGCAGTTAGCAATGTTCTACCACTTGTTGCAAAGGTTTTCCAGCCTCCTCCAGGGATAAAACTGATCTGCCCACCAGCAGTTGTTGCAGCACGAGCAGCACTAGCACGAACTGCTTTTGCAAAGAATCTCCGTCCACAGCCCTTGCCTGCAAAAATACTTGTGATTGGGTTATTAGGCATGGCAGCAAATATTCCTTTAGGGATATGGAGGGAACACACTGAAAAGTTCTCACCATCTTGGTTTGCAGCTGTCCATGCAGCTGTTCCATTCATAGGTATGCTAAGGAAGTCTGTTTTGATGCCCAAAACAGCAATGGCCTTCACCATTGCAGCCTCTGTACTTGGACAGGTTATCGGCTCTAGGGCAGAGCGATACCGACTGAAAGCAGTGGTAGCAAAAAAATCAGCCCTCGAGGTATCCTCTGTTGTGGATGCAAGTCAGTTACAAGTTGTTGCCGTTAAAGGTGACCATTGCGGCAGACATGTGGAATGGGAGCCAGTTCACCTTCAGCTAACCGCGCCGCCTTCATCAGCTGATGTATATTGCTGATTTTCTCCCACATTATGCCTATTTTGATTGCGTGTTGAAAAAAGTGCTTGTTTGTTCCACGTTTTCCAGTGTTCCTTTCTTGGACTATGGTCATTAGACATTGTTCACGGTAATTGATTGAGAATAAAGATACAGAAATCTTTTTCTGATCATAATTTCCCTTGCAACTCTATTCAACTGTTTTAAATTTGTTGCTGCTGGAAAAAATGGTTAGACGTGGACAATTGTAAATTCCAGTTTCTTATTAGGAAAAGAAAAATAATCGTTTATAAAATACAATGCAACTTAAGAATTTATTAAAAAAAAATTCTCTTTTATAACAGTATTTCATTAATAATAGGTTAAAAATTTCGGTACTCAAATTACTATATTTTTATAGTTTTACAGTTTAGTATAAATTGAGAAACATTAAACGAATGTATAAAAAACAAATCGGAAAGAGTAAGGGTCGTAAAAGCCAGAGAGCGGGAAGCTTCGAGATCCAAATATGGCGAACGAATCGCAAGCTCAGTCGGAATCTCATCCTCAGGTATTCGGAGTACCATGGCCGGATCTAAACGACGGCATATGCTACACCGACGTTGTTCCGGCCACCGTTCCCGGTAATCTCTCTCCACTCCATTCATTCGAATCAAAATTTTACCATAGAATACAACACTGCTAAAACCTTCAGCGTAATTCCTATGTCTTCTCCTTCTTAATTTTTAGCTCTAAATATTTCTGCAATTATATCTTTAATTTCTGTTATTTTTCTTTTGGAATTGCAGCAGAGTTGACACTGATTGAGTTCTACTCTAGAAAATATAAGAATTCAGCTCCTTTACAGGGGTAACTTTTCTAAAATATTTTCTCTTTCTTTTTCTTTTTTCGTTTTCTTTTTTTCCTTCGTTGTGAAGCAAAAAGCGACTTTTCTATTTATTTTTAATAATTACCAGTTCTTCAACAGATGGTTACAGCGGATCCAAAATGGACAGGTTTGAATTTGATTCTTCTAACTCCATAAATGAAAATCGATTTTCAGATTAATTTTCGTTTGGGGAATTGAGGATATTTTTCCTATTAATTTTAAGTTTTTTATCCGTTTGCAGATTAAAGTTGGTGGTAGAGTCCTAAAAGATCCCGATACAATTATCAGGTTTTTTTTTATTATTTTTATTATTATTGCTTGCATATTCATGTTTACAGTTTTCAGTATATCATTTATTTCTTTCCTTGTTTTGTTGATTGAATAAAAAATTTCCAGCTCTGGCTCGGAACTGGTTTATCATAGGGTTCCTTGGAAGGAGCCAGATGCGCCTTACATGCTTCAAGTTTTGTATGAGGATGATGATATGGTAAACATCTCTTATTCATTTAGTTTGTATGCATACAGAAAGTTGGGGCTGGGCTGGGAGCTTATATTGATGAAAGTTTACTTGATCACTTTGTTGGTCTATTGTGATGTTGGCAGTGATAGATGATATGTGTTGTTATGATTCATGATTTCATGCTTAGGTTGCTTTGAATAAGCCTTCTGGACTGCAAGTTTTGCCTGGCGGCCTTTTCCAGCAACGAACAGTTTTGACACAACTCCAGTGGTGGGGAAGTAAGCAGAGTTCTTCCTTAACAGGCCAGGAATCACATCCTGTTCCAGTTCATCGCTTGGGAAGGGGCACATCAGGTTTGGTCACCCATAACATATTTATTTTGTAACTTTGGTCCTTTTTTGCTGCTTTGAAGGAATGGAAATGAGATGATTGGAATCCTTTTATCTTTATACCTTTGTCATGGTTCTTTCTACTTGATATAACTGGCTTCGTTCTTGCATTGCCTTTTTCAAATGCTTATTTTCATCTGTAAAGTGACTGAGGAAACTCTGCATCTTATTTGTGTGGATTGACTTGCTTTTGGCTGGCTCTAGGAATATTACTTTGCGCAAAGACAAAGCAAGCCAAAACTCATCTCGCAGAATATTTTGCTGATGGGACATCTCTCATTGGGAACAGGTATTGAAAATTGGATGCCTTTGGTTTCTAATCATGATTTACTTTGTTGACATGCAATTCTTTAATGTATAGAAGTAGCAAATTGGAACTTGGGTCAAGGAAGATTATAAAGATATACCGCGCACTGGTAACTGGGATACTTGCTGAGGATAAGGTGACATGCTACCCAATATCATTGATCAATTTCCTCACTAATTTCATTTGCTTTTCCAATTATACTTTTCTCCCTTAGCCCTTAAATAAATTTACAAGATGGGTAACTGAATTTTCAGCATCCACTTATTTCTATGATTGTGTTGCTGTGAAATTATTCCTTGTAAACAAATTTGCATCAGCGGAAATTTGTGTTTGCTTTATAGGTTATTATTAATCAACCTATTGGAGTTATGCGGTATCCTGGGGTGGCAAAAGGACTGTATGTTGCATTACCTTCAGGTTTATTTATCTATTGTTTTGGTTTCAGCATTTGAATGTTGTTATCAGACATTGGATTCAGAGGAGTGGAATTGATTTTGTAGTGACATTTCTAAACACTGAGTTAGACAATTGACTTACCTCTGTGCCTTAAATTTCCTGTTACATCTCTTTACCTCCATTGTTCATCATTTTGTTACTTTTTCCTGTAACTAGGAAAACCTGCTTTGAGTAAGGTCGAGGTCCTTGAGAGGGATGTGCTAGCAAACCAAACATTGGTCCAGGTATCCTTCTTCATTTTGCAATATCTTGGATGGTCATGTTAACATAGTTAAGGTATCCAACATTATATGTTCAATTAGAGGAAAGAAAGAGGAAAAGGGCAGGAGCAAATTTTTTTCAGTTATCAGAAATAAAAAGAGAAAAGGACTTTTAAGGGGTGGAAAAAGAATAGGTCTTTCAAGAAGGATTCTCCTTTTTCACCAATTTGTGACCTCTATAGATTATGACAAATCTTAGTATGTAGTAATGTTCTTTATGAACTCACTGATGTGACATTAAGACCCTCTACAAGTGATGGTCAGTCTTGGCTTTCTGTTAGTGGCCTAGGGTAAAATGGAACAGATCAATAAGAGCAGCTTGCTGAGAGTGCTATCTAAAACAGTCATAAATTATGAAAGTACATAATGATTCCATCATAATTTATGGAATGAAGTTCATCCATTGAAGGATTCAGCACAATGGTTGGTGTAAATGATATAGGTATTAAATAGTGTCTTGATGGTCTTCATATTTGATAAAAATCCATGTGTTCTTTTTCTTCCCCTGCCTAATTTTGTATCCTTGCATTTCGTTTTTAGTGGTTTGGATTGAGGGTAGGGGATGGAACCTTCACCTGTCTCAAACATGCATGTGAAAAAAATATTTTTCCCCTAATTTTCTTGGATCAATGTTTAGCTTCTTCAATATGCTAATATCTTTAACAGGTTGAGATTCAGTCAGGGCGCCCTCACCAAATACGCATTCATCTTTCTTTCATAGGCCATCCTTTGTTCGGTAATATTTGAGATCTTTATGCTACTTTTAGTATGATCAAGAAGTTTATAAGGATAGTGTGATGCCACCAAGATGAATGGCACAAATCCTCAGTCTCATGGCTAGTCTTTGTTTAAATTAACCATGGCACTTAGATTTTAACAGCTTCAATTATCCAGTTCAAAAAACAGCGCTTCAATTTTTGGGTTATATAGGCTACATAAACTAAATTGATGGTACATCTTATTTTCGACAGGTGATCCTCTATATATTGCCGGGGGCCAACCAAGGAGCTTTGATTCTGAACTCGTGGATGAAAGTTTTGAACAAGATGGGTATGAATATATTTCATATGCATTTACACTTCTTTTCTTGAGTAATCTCTACCCGATCATATTAACTTCACTACTACCAGCTGCTAGCTATAGCAGTTGTTTGTCTTGAAACTTCAATAAGAGATGTTGAGATAAGCTAATTCTATGCGCAGAGGATATCAAAGGCCCATCAATCCCGTTCCTGGAGATTGTGGTTACTACTTGCATGCCCATCAACTTGTCCTCCCTCATCTAGTCACGAATGAGGTAATCGTGTAAACATAAAAATATGTTTTGAATACTTAAAGTTGGTTTAAACAAATTAACAAGTTCTTCTCTATTTGGTTTCAGATGATTAAAATCACCGCACCTCTTCCACCTGTCCTTAAAACAAAGGACGAGGCCAAGGGAGAAGCATGCGATTGAGGAGGAATTGCATTAGGTAAAGCAAATAGATTCAGCTCCTGGAACAAAGGCAGAAGCTTTGCATAAGCTACAAATATCCATGTCCTAGCATGTTAATCCTCCAGGTATCCATCTCTCTCTTCATGTTCCATAGTCGTATTTGTCCAATATAGGCCCCCAATGTCCGCGCAAACATTATCGCATGCACAAGACCTCTTATGTCTATTTTATTATTTTATTTTTGTCAATTTAGCCTACAGTCTTACATTTTAAAATTTCTACCAAGAAGGCACGTCCAGACGTTTGGCAAAATGTCATGGTCGTTTGATACTTGGGAGGTGGTAACAGGCAAATCTGGAGTTACCCCCCTCCCAAATGTTCACTGACTATTTCCTGTATTTCCATCAATATAGCAAATACAAAGCTGATGAAATAATGGTAACACCTAAAATCATTTTTTTCCCAAAAAGACGGACTTCAGAACCGTCTAATGCTGCCCTATCATTTCATATCAAAACAATACAAAAACTATTTATACAGTGAGTGGCAAAGATTTGCCGCTAAGGGCCTCTCCTCTAAAAAGGCCCCTTCTAGAACAACTACCTACTTATGCCCCCGTTACCCCTCCTTGATTCTTCTTCCCTGATAATGCCCCCATTCTGCCCACTATACAGCTCAATTCTCGCATGGTGTAGGGCAGCCACAGGATCTGACTCACCCGTGCTACCTCCCCCAGCTAGAGCCCTTGTTCTCCCTAAATCATTCATTCCAACCATTTCTCTTCCTTGATGCTCTAAACTTGGGATTGCATCAAATCCACGTTGTTGCACCTCTGATAACACCTCCTGTCTGGGCTTCTTCACATCCAAACTAAAAGGCTGCACCTTTGAACCATCAAGGCCTCTAGACAACTGATAATCCACCACTCCATTGCTGCCAATATCCATTGAAGAGATAACTGACACATCATTTGAATTCAGATCATTACTCTTCCCAGCAGACAGCAATGCTTGCTGTTCCATTTTGGATGTGGCTGCAGGATACTTTGCCATTAAAATAGACGAATCAGGCAAAGATGGATTCCCAGTTTGTATTCTGTTCCCATCCCAGAAACCAAAACTCACAGGAACATTCTCCAGACCAAGATAATCATGATGGTCAAACTTCAAAACAGCTGAACTCCCATCCACTTGGTGATGACCATTGAGTTTCGAATTTGACAACTTGACACCCCTTTTCAGAAGATTGGTCCCCTTGCTATCCTCATCTCCACTAGAATTAAGTATCTGACCAAACAGCTTGACATTACCATTCCTGCAAGGTTTTTCTGTATCTGAGAGACTTTGCAATTGGGCTCTGGGATGATCACTGGTTTGTTCTGCGCTTTGGGACAGAAATGGAAGTGCTGCCACTGAGGACTGAGATATGGAATTATTACATTTTTTGTCATAGCAATCCTGAGTCAAATACTGTCCTCCCTCATCCATGTCAGACTTCAAACGGCTTTGAACATCAGGATACTGTTTGCTACTTGTGTCAACATTTATTTCTTTCTTGGTTGAAATTGTCAGCATAGATATCTGGGAGGACTCAGCATGGTTTGATGCAGTATATTCATCTCCACTAACAGATTTATGACCACATTTATCTCTACTGTCCTGAAAATCATGGGTTGATGACATCCTATCTTGGTTGCACATCTTATCACATGGAAAGCCATCAGAATCTTGGGACTTGGAATTTGGATCTGCCAAAATACTCCCCTCCTCTGCCAACGTGACAGTAGGCTTTTGAGGTGAATCCAACTCAAGAAAAACTTGATGCAGGACTTTGGGGCCGAAACTGAAACCTGAAAAAGAACTTGTATTAACATTGGTAGGTGAGAATCATTGCATTTAAATGTAGTATAAAAGTACCTTGACTGACAGTATCTGCACCACATTTTTCATCTTGATCATCTGATTTGCTCTTGGCCAATAAAGGATCCTGAGCCATTAGTTTATTTTCAAATGACTTGATAGAACACTGAACTAAAGATTTGGACTCAGTCTCAGAATTCAAATTACATGGGCAAGCATCAACCACCTCCCCAACAGATGTGCACTGCTTTGTCCCTCGCTCTTTTCCAGTTTCAACATCAGTCAATGCAACAATTTCCTGAGCCGGCTCTGACTCTAGCTGTTGGTTATTATCATCAACATCTCCATGACTCCTGCAGTTTGGCTGAGGCCTATCTGCCAACCAACTGACATGAGAAACAACAGATTCCACAGCCTCAGAATTACTATGATCAAGAACCCCCATTTCTTTGTTATCTTCTGAAATATTCAGGCTAGTCTGCAAGTTCAATGCCCCAGCAGGATTAGATCCTTCCTCATTCATGGTCGCAGTACAAGGCAAGTCATCTTCCACTTTAGAACCCAGCTTATCAACAGCAACCACTGAGCTCTTCAGAACAGAAGTGTCTTCCATGTCATTCCCATCACCATTTGCATCATCACTCAAAGGTGTTCCCATGTTTCTGGCTTTTGCATTTATCAAGTCCAGTCCAAGGCACTTACGAACCTTGCTAAAGAAAACCCTGCATTGGTCCTGGGACCTTGTTCTAACACATTGTGAGATCATTGAAAAATCCTTGCCATAAGATGAGAATGCTTGCAAAAAAATAGATTTTTCCTCATCTGTCCAATCAGCAGGATCTGGTTCCCTACAACTCTCATCTGAACAAGTATCATCATCAACATTCTGTGTGACATCAGATGTTGACGTCCATTTCATAACAGAATCCACTTTTTGGCTCTTCCATTTGGAGTTACCAGGGTCCACAGAACTTGTAATACAAGAACTCATTGCCTCTGAAGATAGGGAACCACAAATGCCTGCTAAAACATCAACAGCTGCAGTTTCTCTATCATCCTCAGTAAAACCAAAACTGCCTGACCTTTCTGTAGTACCATCTTCAACTCGAGAACGTTTAGACTCATAGCATCTTCTCAGAAAGATCCTGCCAGATGACATCTGTTGATTCCCAATTCTACTTTCTGCATGAGCTGCAATGACTGAAGCTGCACCCAAAATATCAAGGGAAGCAGCATTCCTTTCACGGCTCCACTTCTTACCTGATGTCACCAAGTAGGTACTAGTAGCAGATTTCCAGTGTTTGCTTAGATCAAGCTTCTTTGTTTTCTCAAAACCATCAGATTTATGGTTTTTGTAGTAAAACTCTACACAGTCAGCTGTTGTTTTATGGTCAAGAAATGAAGCAATTTTCCCAAAATCCTTTCCAAATGTAGCCAGTTTGTCCATAAAAATATCTTTCTCATCTGACATCCAAGGATTTATCAAAGACCTTTCCTTCTCAACTGCACATGGATCTTCAATCAATCCATTGCTAGAGACAAACCTTGAAAGCTGCTTCTCTTTCTTGTCCAAAATCATTGCTGGCATCTTCAGACTGTTCCTGTGATCCTTAACTTGTGATTCTGAAAGCAGTTTGCTTACAAAATTAATCATCTCCATGGTAGGAACCAGGCTCAGATTTCCTGCTGCAAAATCAGTCCAATAAATACATTAAAACACAATTTATTTCTACCAATAGATCTGGAGATTCATTCTACAAGAAAAATAATAAAGCAACACCAACATCAGAGGCCAACAAGGGGCAAACTTAAAAGGAAACAAATAAATAACTGATCATAAAATCTTCCTACTAAGAAATGCAAATTATTAGAATTTAAAGCATCATTAACAGCTCACCAAATAATCAAAGTCAAAGCAACCAGCCACATAAATGCCATGTGGAAATTATCATTGCAAACAATCTCAAATAACTCTCTAAGGAGTACGTTAATCTAAAATGAACGTTATATACATGCTAAATGCCTTATAATACCATATTCATTGCTAACTGGAGAGCCAAGTTTGAGCAGCTAAACATGGAAAAGCCCAATGTTTTAAAAATGTATTCGATCATAGATATGAATGATTAGCAATTAGCATAATACAAACTGCATAATATGACTACTTTCTGTGCATTCTACTAATGATCCATAGATATGCATGTCATATGCTGACAGTCAGAAAACAGGCATTGACAAGGGAAGAGCTCCTATTAGCTAAGCGATTTCCTTGAATAGCTCCTATTAGCTAAACGATTTCTTTGAATAGCTCCTATTAGCTAAACGATTTCTTTGAATGGACACAATTCAACAAGTTAATTTATACAAATATGCCTTTCAATTAACAAATTATAATCCTGAAACTTGCAGCCATCCGACAGAAAAGACCTAAACATTAAGAGCATTTATCATTAGACATTAAGCAAGAGGTAAAGAACAATTACCAGAGCGAAGAGAGGTGCGATGCTTTTGATATACACTATGTGTTGCTCGTACAAAGACTTCAGATTTCTTTTGAGACTTTGCACGGAATTTTCTTATTGAAAGCGAGTGAATATCTTCCTTCCATAGGTAATAAAATGTTCTATACTTTAGAGTTAAAATTCTCTCCTTCAACCTTAATTCTCGCTTTCGCATCACAAACTTTTCTCTGATAAAAGAATTCTGCCGGTTTGTTACATTGGAAAGCACTCTTGAAATCTCAATAGGGCAATGATCTTCTGGCAATATTTTGTTAAATACTTCAGATGCTGTTTTCGCCAATTCCCTGTTGGCAGACAGTAGTACATCATATGATATATTTTCTCCAATGCCATAGCAGTTTGAAGATTCTGTAATTTGTGCATTGTTTTCAATCTTTGAAAGCATGCTGCCACCCTTACAAGCAGATATGCCAGTCCCTACATCACTGCAACCAGAAGCTACACATATGTTCATTGTTGTAGGTTGAAGAGCACCCAAATCCCTAGAATTTTCGCCCTGGTTTACAATATGTAATGGAGAAACTGCCTTCCCCACAGATGACAGTTCTGTAAATTTAGATGTGGCACTTCCAGGACTATCGATATCCCCATCCTTAACATCAGCACAAACTACTTCCACGACCCCGTTGCATGGAGGTTTTGTCTCCAAAACAGCATCCCCATACTGATCAATTTGCAAGGGAGAAGGTTGATTAACCAAATTTGAGAGAGAGTTCTGTTCCTCACAAGGTTTCCAATTTCCCTCCAGTGGGAAAGAATTAGGCATTGCTGGACAAGGATACCTCTCTCCAGATTCACATTTCAATGACTTGAGTTCATTTTCAAGTAAATCAATTTCAGACTCAGTCATTTCTAGTACCTTCAAAATGTCACTCTTGCACAGAAGTAACTTATTGATTGCAGTAGGTTGAACAAAACTAGAATCTACAGAACAATGATCATCAGGCTGAAGCAATTCATTAAGTGAAGAGCCCAAATCAGCAATTGAATTGACATTCAACTTCTCCAAATTCAAAGTGAATCCTTCAAGATGGTTGTGAGGCACAAGACTTGGAGAACCACATGATTCATTGATATCATTGTCGCCATTTATTGCCTTGCTAAAAGATTTTTCCTCTACACCTGCAACAATAAGACACATATGACTACCACAAATCAGACATAATTTGAGAGAAAATAAGCATCAATGGAAGTAGGTTACAGAAAATGCTGAAACCAGAAGAAAATTAACCAGTAGAACCTAGAAATAAACTGATCAACACAATTAGCTTCACAACTAGGAAAATTCTGGTGGTCAAATCCTTAGGTTTAAATTACTATTCCTGGAAAGTATCAAAAATCCTATCCTCCAAATTCTTTTGATAAGGACCCTAAATACCCAGGCAGTAAGCTTTAACACCAAGCAAGCTATTAAGCATGTTAATAGCAATCAACCATTGACATGTAAAGGCCTAGACTAGAATAATGGGGATGAAACACAAGGATGGGAAAGGAAGAAGAATAAATGCTAATATCTAGGACACAGATACAACTACTATTCAAAAGGAATAGGGATTCTGACAATAACCAAATACAGTGAAACTGAAATATTACCATCAACAAAAGTATGTCCCAATAAGTGGAAAACAAGATGTGTTGTTTAAAACTGAGAGATATACCTGATGAAGAACTGCAACCAACAGAGGAGGGAGTTGCAGGAGATGCACAATCAGACAAAGCCAGAAACCTAGGACTCTTATCAGCCAAGTTTGAAGTCATAGAATGGTTCAGCTCTTGATTGCTGACAGAAATTGTAGTCCCAACTCCATTCACACTTGTATCAGGACCTTCAACTTTCTTTTTCTCATATTTTGCCAGTCCCTCACCCCACCCAAGGCGTGGCTTCTTCCTTGAAGTTGTCTCATCAGACAGTGCAGCAGAAGTCACACATGCAGCAGCATCCCCAGAAGGTGATTGGACTGGAGTCGCATTTTTTTGTTGAAACTCAGCCTTACCTTCACTGGAATCTAAACCTCCTAAGCTCTTTGAGCCATTTGAATGGCTGAAACCTGGACCTCGCGAAGACAGGCTTCCAGAACGGCTCCACTTAAGAGGCTTCCACTCCATTGGGCCAACTGAGTTCTCTCTCTCACTTTTCAGTCCTGCACCCAACCCATTTCCACCACTTGCTTTATTATCATGCTGATCTTTTGGGTGAAGTTGATGGCAACTGTTCACAAATTCAGAATGAGCAGGAGGGGGGTATGTTAGGATATCATCAACTGACCTCTGTTCGTTGTTCATGTAATCTAGCCTCCCATATGTGTTGGGGGAACTATTGCTTGTTTCCCAAGTATGAACTTTCCAATCTCTTTGGCTATATGACCCTCTATTTTCTCTAACACCATTCCTAAAATATTTCCCATCTCCACGTGAAAAAAATGGGCGGCAGCTCTCTGCTTCAAAAATCTTGTCAGCAGACCGCGATGGACCAAATCCATGAGCAACGTCTCCTGCAAACTGATGCCAAACACCCTGCCTAGCATGACCTTCAGAAAATATTTAAACAAAAAAGGGGAAATAGTAACCATTAAGACAATTAAAGTCTATATTCTTCCGAAATCAACAAAAGAAAATGAAAATAACAAACCTCCCCTACAAAATAGAAGTAGGATTACAAGAAGAGAGGAGAAATTGTGCTATTTCATAAAAAATAAATATTATGTTCTGAAGTTTCCTAGAGAAGGAAAGCATTCTTCACACGAGCTGAGGCTAAGTAGGTTTAAAAATTAATAGTGCTAAAATTATAAAAAATAATAATAATAATAATAATAATAATAATAACAGTATTCTTAAGAAGATTAAATTCCATGCATCACCAAAATCCACAGATCTACGTAATCTCACTGGGAAAAAGCAAAATCCTGAGGAGCTTATCACAACAAAAAAGTATCAGAAAGAAATGGTGGAAAACAAAATCCAGAGACCTAAGAGCTCCCTACCAATACATAAAAACTGGCAAAGAAACTAAGCCTGGAACCCCGATAAACCTCATATTGGAAGTCCTACGTCAAACAACTGCGCTAAAACAGCAAAATTGAAAAGGTAATAGGAGAGGGAGGGTGAGGGGGGGAAGCAAACTCACCAGGGTGTCGGCGGAAGTCAGCCGATCCACATCGAGTGAGCTCACGCGATGGTCCATGATGATACGACGACACAGAGGGAGCTTCCTTCCATCGCGCCAGAGACTCTGGACGCTCGTGCTTCCTCTCCTTGAAGAAGTCTTTCCGATCCCAAGGCAATGGTTCTGGCGGCATTAAATCGCATGAGGCACAACAAAAATCCACCTTATCCAACTAACCAATAACAGAACAACCAAGTCTCTCAAATGCCCCGTTCCGCCGCAACAACCACCGCCAAAATTTAGGGTTTCCAAGAAACCAGAATGATAGACGGAGATTACCGGTTTCTCACTGCCTATTACACCTCACCAAATCTAGGATTATCAACCACAAAATCAAGAAGCACCTGATTTTCCTAGATTAGTGATTCAGATCGAGAGAGGCCGATGAAGAAGTCTTGTGAAGGCTTGTAATATTCAGTCTTCAGCTGCTTTTCCCGCCGTGGAACCGAATTTTCTAGAGGTTTCTACCGGAAAATCAATGTGCGGAGGAAGAAGGTGAGAAGGTGAGCTGATAAGGAACAGAGAGGCTTGGGAGACAAAGAGAAAGAAGAGAGGGATAGGCATCCGTATCTCAACGGCGCGATTAAATCATATTTCAATCAGCTCTCGCGTCCGCTGAAAATATTTATTGATTTCAATTTTTATTTATTTATTATTAGAATATCTGTGTGTACTTCTCCAAATTTGCCCTCGGAATGGGCTATAATTTACGGGAGAAACCCGCTAAAACGGCCTGACTGATTTGCCCCTACTGTTGTACGGAATTTCAAGACTTGCGTGTTACGGTTTTAAATCAGTTTTTTAATATTTTTAACTCTTCCGTAACGCCTTTCTCTTTAATTTCAAAAAACAAAATTCAAGAAGATACCTTTTTTTTTTTTTTGGGAAAAGAATTTATGAAAATATATTTTGTTTTGTTTATTAGAGATTTAGTTGTATGGTAATATATAAATTTAAACCTTTAATATTTATTTTAAATTAAGATTTTAAAATTAATAAATACTAATCTAATTTAATTTTTATTAATATAAAAAATATTTATATTATATGTATATATGTATTTACTCTTTATAAATTCTTCTCGTATTCATGTTATTACCCTATGATATTTTAATCTTCTATAGTGTATTTTTAAAATCTGAAATTATACCTGAATTATACCATTTAAGAAGTTAGTGATTAGCTATTTACACTCAATATTATTTTGTTATTTTGGTAGTACATTTTTTAACTGAGTGAGTGTTCACATAGCATTTTCTGTTTTTAATTGCATTAACTTACATTCCTTTAGGACGATTTCAATCATTAAAGTTCAAGATTTTCATCATTAAAAGTATTAATTTCGAATTATAAAAGACAGATGAGACGAGAAAGAGACAGAAAAAAAAAAAAAGAAAAAAAAGAGAGGAGAAATATGAATTTCTTTCCTAATCTAGATCACACTTATATTTATCAGCAAAATAATTGCTCTCTTCCTATGTAGGTGTAGCTCATAACCTCTCCTCAAGTCTTATGTATGACACTTTACTTGCAACCAAGAAAAAATAGTGTCTTACCTGTTGCCCATCACATAGATTTCGATCTCTTTATTGTAACCCAAAAAGGGGTATATATCCCTGTTTGCATTCTCATGGATTCAGGCTTCATAACCTTAATTATGTAACTAAATTTTAGTTGATAATCAACTACCTTTTTTTTTTGTGAACTCAACTACCCTATGTACTTGCACCTAGGCCTCATAGTTCAACAGTCATAAGACCGGCTTGTAAGGTGCATCCCCCAATTCGAAGGTTGGAATTCGAATCCCCCTTCCTTATATTTGTAACCTGTTCAAAAAAAAAAAAAAAAACTACCCTATGTACTTTTTAAGGATGACCTCGTAGGTGGAGACTTCCTTCTCATTTTTGTTCTTATTATCGACTAGTAGAGAGAATTTTGAGGGAATTTTTGATTGAAAGTAAAAATACTCTTTATCTCTATTTTCGTAAGGAATGAAGAGTCGTTGCAGGTATGAAAAATCTTTACGAAACTATATAAAAATATATTTTTTATTTGATTATATACAAAAATATCTTCTTTTTTTTTTTTGGGCATCTTGAGAAAAGAAAACTCAAACCGTGGCAACTGAAGTTTTAGAGAGAGAAGTCTAGAAGAACTTACCCTTTTTATTTTCTATTATTTTTTAAACAAATCTTGAAATTAAAAATTGAGAAAACAAGAGAATTTTTGTTAAGAGAAGCCACACACCTAAAAAGAAATGGAAACAATGTTAAAGAAATGCATCACTCAACATCTAATTCCTTGTCCAAACTTGCACGAAAAGGAAAGACTTTACAGTTATAGTCAAATTTCTTTATGAATATTTACCAAAACACTATACGTTTTGCATTTTTATTTTTGTATTTAATTACTGTACTTAATGCCAAATCTCAAGGTTATTAACAGTAATTCACTTTTACTCACGTCTCATAGTAGCTGATAACGTATTAAGACGTAATCAAATCACACGAGTCATAGGGCTGCGCATTTATTTGGTTTTGATTATCCAAATTGAAATGAATTTTTGGATATTTAAAAAAAATTTAGATGAAACTTTTATATCAAATGATTTAAATTCAAATTAAATATTTAATTTGATTGCAATTTTAGATAATTGAAATTATTTAGATAATTTAAATAGTTAGCTAAAACTAAAATGATCAAAATTTTTATATATCAATATTAATGTATTCATAATTCCTCATAATTGGCTATTAGAAGCCTTTTCTTTTCTTTTTAATTTTTATTAATTTTAATTTTTTTAACATTCTTGTTTACAAATTAAAAAACATAATTCTATAAAAAAAATATATAATTATTTAATATTTAAAATTTTCA